GACTCAGACTGGTATAAAATGCTCTATGGTTTATCTATGATACGTTGGTCTCACTGCATGTAAGACAGTGACAATACACATATATTACACCTAGAGTACCGATACAATACCATACAGACATATAAAGTGCAAGACTGGGCAACAGCAGACACACATTGAACATAAGAAAGAGGCAGATTGTGCTCAGTTATGGTGCAAAGGGGTCTTGTTTTCCGACCGGGATCATATCTGATTCTTCCTGATCCTTTCCAGAAGTACAGCAACGACTGGTGGATCGGGCGGCTGGTGAAGGAGGGCTGCGATACGGGTTTCATCCCCAGCCCGCTGAAGCTGGAAAACATCCGGCTGCAGCAGGAGCAGAAGAGGGGGCGCTTCACCGGGTGAGCCGAGGGCAGAGATGTGTAAAGAACTGGAGTAGAAGTACAAGTACTATATAAAAGAATTGACTTGAGTGAAAGTCGAAGTGTTCTTTTAACTCCATACTTAAGTGGAAGTACTCCATTTTTTTTTGTACTTAAGTATTGCAAGTAGAAGTATTTAAAAAATTGCTACTCAAGTATTGAAAGTGCAAGTACTTTGGATATTAAAAAAAGGCAAAAGTTTGATAGATATGTATAAAGTACTTGAGTAGAGGAGTGGAGTAGAAGTACAAGTACTACTGTATATAAAAAAATTGACTTGAGTAAAAGTAGAAGTGTTCTTTCAACTCCATACTTAAGTGGAAGTACGGAAGTACTCCATTTTTGTTGTACTTAAGTATTGCAAGTAGAAGCATTTAAAAAATTGCTACTCAAGTATTGAAAGTACAAGTATAAGTAAAAGTACAAGTAGGCCTACTGTGTATATTAAAAAAAGGCAGTCAAAAGTGTGATAGATATTGTTTATATTATTTCAAACGTGTGAAAGCAAAAAACAGAAAACTACATCTGCATTAGCAATCAACAGCACTTCATCTACTATTATTTATTATTCCAGAGTCAGAATCCTGAGCTGAGCCTTTATGCTAGCATGTAGCATACAGCTAGCCAGCTAGCTTAGCTTTAGCTAACGTTATCACACAGCTAGCCGGTTAGGTTAGCTTTAGCTAATGTAATGAGTGAACAGGGAGAATTGAACTAGCGCTCATTTACTAGGTTATATGTCATTGTATTTTTTAATTTACCTTGATATGCTTCTTCAGATTAGATGGGGAATTTTTGAAAGCCATGATTTCTCAATATTTCGGGAGGCTTTTTGTTTTTTTTATAAGTTACGCTTGATGGCTCAAATCGCCAATGAGGAGCCAGCTAGTAAAACAAGTTAAAAAGCTAAAAAAAAATAATAAAATAGACCTAAAAAAACGTCAAACATCTCCATGATGTGGTACAAACCACAGACCGGAGGATTCATGCTCTATTTTCCCCTCCTGTTAGGGGGTCATGTGGTGAAACACAGTGTGTAACACCCCTTTTAACACCCCTTTTTCTCTGTTCGCTTCCCAACCTCAGCAGTAAATCCAGCGGGAACTCCTCCTCCAGTCTGGGAGATATGGTGTCCGGCACTTTCAAACCGAACCCGAACTCTGCAGGTCCGTCTAACGGCTGACTCAGCATTTCTCCATCCATGACTCATGAGCTCTAGTAGGGTCCCGATGTAAATACCAGCTCTGACTCACCTCTTCTTTTGTGTTTTGCTTTCTCAGGGAAGCAGAAGCAGAAAGTGGTGAGTATGAGTGATTATTTATTTATTATATAATAGTTTATGTCACAATTTACGGTCCCCTTTTATTCAGTCTTTGC